TGTGTGTGTATATATATATATATATATATATATATATATATATATATATATGAAGTTTCTATTTGCTCTGTCTTTGAAAGAACTTTGAGCTTTGTTTCAAAACAAAAATGCTGGTCATGGTCATTATTTTTACAAGTAGTCTGCATAAACAGATGTTCTCACTAATATCTCAAAACTGCGTATTCCATGTCTCTGAGAGGGAAAGATCAATTTTGCTCAGAAATGAAGAAAGAAGCACATCTGATGCTGCTGCCTCTTAGCACCCTAGTCTGCAAGAGTGACGGGCAGGGAGATAGTACTAAGGCAAATCCACAGTTAGATGCCACTTTGCTGCCTCTGTGTCATCCATATTCCAACCTGAGTCCTCAACCACAGAACTACTTTCAGTATTCTAGAAGAAAAGCATGCTGTAACAAAACCTACTGAAGAACCATGTTACAAGCTGACAATTTGAAGTCTTCCATGGAAATTTAGGTTTCTTTGTCAACCTGTATGTTTCCATTCCAACTATATACTACTATATACCTTTAATGACATTTTACTTCTAATCAATATCCTTCTTATTTTCTGGAATATTATCAAATCAATATTTTTACTATTTTCTAGAATGTCTATACTATTTTATATTAATGGATGTTTTACCTGCATATATACCTGTGTCCTGCTTGCCTGAATAGTTCTGCAGAGGCCAGAATAAGCCATTAGATTCCCTGAAACTGGAGTTATAAATGCTATTGAATCACCGTATGGGTGCTTAGAATCAAATCTATGTCTTCTAGAAGGACAGCCAGTGAGCCATATCCCCAGATCTTGATCTTTAACATATTAATTTTTGTTATCCCTGGCAACATTTTCTGGCACCATAGATAATATTTCTGTCATTCAACTTTAAAATAAATATTCTAAAGTCAAATAAAAATAAACAGATATAGAGTACAGTAAGTCAATGAAAACAGACTTTTCATCAGTTAAAAATTATATTAACATTCTTAAAATCACAATAGTATTTCCTTGGGCAATTCAAAAGTAAACTAGATATTAAAATAGACCAGGGTGTTCTTATCAGCCTACTATCATTACTGTCTCTTAGACACCAGATTAAAAACCATACCATATAGTTTCTCCATATTTAAATAACATTTTGGACTTTTTCTACAATTGATTAAATGTAAAACACAGCAAACTGGATGCACAGAACAAACATGGGAGGTATTGTGTGCTTTCAGGATGTGGCATCTTGCCATTGACCACAGCATCTTGGAGCTCAATAAAGTCATCGAAATAGTTAACAGATGTTAGCCGCACTTGAAATATAAAAGTTCTATTGCTAAAAAATATGTTGGGTCAGATGAAACTTTGGCTCTTGGTCCATAACTTAACAAACTTGGCAGATGGAGAGTCGGGATCCAGGGGAAAAAAAAAACACAACTTCAGGGCCACACACTCTGCATTGTGCCGAGGCTCATAAACCACTAACAATGTGTACCCTGCAGTAAGGTAGCTTGAGGAGGCATTAACACAGCACTTGATGCTTAGAGAAATCTGAAGTCAATTTTCAGTTCTACTCAGCTAAAAAAGAAAATGATTTCTGTAAGAGCAAATGAGCAGGCTTTGTTCACCTCCAGACATGCACCGGGGTTAATTCCCAGCATTCAGTTGAACAGATGCCTTGTCTTGTCCTCCTTCTACTTCATGGTCTACCCACCCAGTGGTAATCTTTTCAAAGTATATCTTCTTCCCCTGCTGTTTTTATTAACTTCCACTTGAGAACGAGTTGGCACTAATGACACTGTGATGAACCAGGGCTGGAATGGCTCTGCTGTCTCTTAAATCCTAAACTCATTCAAATCGAGCTTTGAAGGAGGCTTGTGAGACTTTAGAGTTTGTGGTTTTATTCACTGCCTTGCAAATAAACTCACCAGCTTCCATCACCTTGTGGAGATTCACACCCTGGAAGAGAAAAGAGAAGACACAAGGTGGGATGGGGATGAGAGTCAAGAAAAGAGAAAAAAAAAAGGATGAAGCAAATTGTTTTAATCTCACTAGTAGTAGCTTAAGTCTTTAAAATTAGGAAACGTTTTGTTCATCACCAATTCATGGTCAGCATTTATTTCCATGAACTATGTAGGTTGTGTTTTAGGTTTCTCCACTTTATTAAAACATAATATGTAGGAGACACCTCTAATAACAGTACAATTTGCAAACATGTCAAATGTTTAAGACGGACAATCGTAGAATTTGAAGAAAGAGAAAATAAAGCAGCAATGGATTGGAGAAGTTTATAGTTAGAAACTGAATTGGGAAAAATGATGTCTTGGTTATATGTAAAGAAACAAGCTGAGTAAGTTTATATGGATTCTCCGGGGAAAATGAGTGCTTTTTTTTTTTAACCATATGCAGAATTGTGACATAGTATGAAGTGGGAAACTGTAAGGCAGATAAAATTAACAGTATTTAGTATGCAATGGCACCTACTGTGCCTGACACTTTGTACTGTCTGAAAGGAAGTATAAGAGCAATCAAGACTTAGGAAAATCCATGAATGAAAGATCGCAGTTGGTCTGAAGGCCAAGATCAGGGCATATTCCTCATCTGTGGGCCTTGGAGTAACAGTGTTTCGCCTACTACTCTTGTTGTGATGTGAGAGACACACTGTGGGAGTGTCCACTATATATTTGTCTCACACAACATCTCTCACGCCCTTACATCTTTCTTCACCATGAACTAGAAACTGTGAGGACTAACAATTAAAATTAATCTTTGTTAGTAAACTACTAATAGCTGTTTTAAATAGTTCTCAAAATCTGATTTCCTCCTAAACTGGATTAGAATGAAATTTCACAAAGCTTTTTATAACCTATTTATCTTCATTTTTCTTTCTAGACACATTTCAGAACATTCTTTGTTATTTCTCTTTTTACTAATGATCAAGAAAATATTTTGTAAAACAATTCTTTTAAACTTTTTGTTCTTTCACAATATAAACATGTTTTCAGGGTAGCAATATTCTTTTTGATTTGTGAAAATTGTTTTGTTGTGGAACATCTGAGTCGACATTTTCATTTAAATTCTTAATCTAATGTTATCTAAATAGTTTCAATTGTCTTACATTTCTGAATTAAATCTATTAAGGGTTTCATGGAATATTTTCATCATTAATGTTCCTCTAAACATTGTACAAATTCCATTTCTAAGAATTATGCATCGATGATATGCTAATATTATCTCAAGAAAGAATTTTGTTTTGGTCTTTTTCTATTTCATTTAACAACTGATATGATTTTCAAATATTGTATTTAATCAAATCATTTATCAGATGTCTGGAAAGCAATATGATAGGTTGTGAGGTTTCACATAAATAGTATATTTATTGATCTCCATGAAACTTACATGTTCCTGGGCAATTACAGACTCATGAATACAAACTTCTGTACTAAACTGAGGTCCATGGAGCAAGATGTGCCCAAGTGTTGAAAAAAGACCAAGGAACTCCTGAAGAAAGACTAGAGAGAATGTGCCGGGGCAGAGGTTATGAAGGTACAATTCTGACTCATGTTTTGTGTGGTAACTGTGGTAAGAAGTTATGAGAGGCACTGCAAATAATGAGGAACAATGCAAAAGGCCTTAAAAAAATAGTAGCACAGTACATGTGGAGGGTGAGGAGCGGGAGGGCCATGGTACATGTGGGTAACAATGGGCAAACCAGTCACCAATGCTATTTGTAATGGAGACGGGACCAACTGGCCAGAGTGTGTTATACAGTAAGTCTTCTCTTGGAGGAAATGCAAGCTCTCTGGGTGCTTAAGCAGAGGCATGGTATGTGTATCCTTCCAGTACGGAGAGTCCTGTGGTAGTGATGGACTCAAATGCAATCAGTGTAGGAGACTATCATTCCTTCACCAGAGATAGCTCCTATAATTGCTTGCACTTGGTAACCAACTGGGACTGTGATCCATAGTAACTGTGGTGCACTTCAACCTGAGAAATTCTTAGGGTGGCATTAGATTTTCTGGAATTTGGCATTGAACCTAAAGTTACAGAACACACTGAACACTGGTTGTTAATTAAACTTAATTCAACCATCCATGTTCCAAGAAAGGTTCAATCTCTCTTCCTTTTCAGTCACTGCCTTCTAAAGAAATAATTAGGCCACTGTGTAAGTAAACTACTACTTTCATAAACAGAAGATGAGCAATAATAGATTTTGTTATTTTTAGACAAGAGCTGTTAGTCTTTGGAGCCAGGTAAAATGTCAATAAATATTGACTAAGCATCTGTATGTTAAAGACACTGAGTATGAATGAGCTATAATTGCATTTTGGCTACGAAGGAGGATAGAAGAATAAACAATATCATAATACAACTCTAGGGAACATGAACAAATAAAAATGCAGAATTTGAGGAATCACCAAGATCCGTAAAACTTTGCCTGGGATGTAGACAGATTCCAGGAGTGGACAAGTTGGCTTTATCTTACTTTCTAGATGAAATGGGGCATGATGTAAAAGACTACTCAGAATCACATGAAAGCAGTGAAGAAGAAAGTGGAATTACAGATAAGTTAGATGCCATGGGAGCATCAGTGTAATTACAGTAAGGCTGGAAAGGCAGGAGGCAAGAGAGGCAAATTTCTTCTGTAACCTAACTGATGCTTTTATGGTTTGGGTGTCCAACCATCACAGAATTGTTTTCTTACCTTTCCTAGTTTCCCATGAAATAGAATCTCCCCTGTGCTTATAGATTTTGTTACTAAGCATAAAGAAAGGTCACAGTTAGCTGCAGTAGGTGCATGCAAAATCTACATTTTCAGGTACTCGCAAAGAGGCTCTTTGAGACCCAGGATCTTACACGTCAGGTTTAATTAACCTTTGCTCTTCCATTGACTATTTGCAAGGTGTCAGGAGCCCCAGGCCAACAGAATCCAAGCCTGACTCAGGATCATCTCAGCTTCTCTGAGGATCCATACTAAAAGCAAAACTGCAAAATCAAAGCATTATAATTGCAAAGACACGAGCTCTTGCACAGTCGATAGGCAAAGTCAAAGCAGATAATATATGAAGACATATTTCTGAGTTCACAAAGCTTTCTAATGTGGAGTAAGAACACTATTAGTAATGTTGCCACAGCAATAAACACGTGCAAAGTCCTTGCAACTCTTCCATTTTGGTTTCCTTCCATACAATATAGCAAATAGCAAATGTGTAATAAGACTTTGATTTCAGCTGTTTTTCAAGTTTGAGAATACATTTCTATTTGAACATGAAAAGAGAGCGTGGATTTTAAAAATACATTATAAAGAACTTACTGTATTGAGCCCCATGCCGTTGAGCATATATATCAAATCCTCAGTGGCTACATTCCCAGAAGCACCTTTCGCATAAGGGCAGCCACCTAATCCGGATACAGCAGAGTCCACCACACTAATTCCCATCTGAAAAATAAAGCTCAACAGTAAGGCATGTTCATGTATGGAATATGAATCACTCATTTCTACTTAACCTGTTGTGAAGAAACAGCAAAGTTTAAACATGCTATGCACAGTTAGCATTCCCTTGATGCTAGAATCATCCCTGGAGAAACAACTCCTTTTCTAAGTTTGTCTCTTAGACCAACAAAATCTCTGCTAAAACTCTCTGCAGCTGGGCCAGTATTACACCAAAATTTAAAAGGTAAGGTTTTTGTCTGTTTGTTTATTCCCTGTAAGAACACAGCTGGCATGGTTAGAGGTTGGAGTACAGTTAGTTCATCTCTGGTTTTATATATTGTCTAATTTCCATGTTTAAAGCATTCCAACACTACAACCCAAAAATCACAGTCACAGAAGACTGAGAGTTGGATCTGGAATTTTGAGATGAGTTTAGCATTTGCAAGGGGTTTTGTGGGACCAATTTACCTACCTAATTCACCAAACTTTCATGGGAACAGTATTTTACACATAAGACTCTGGAAGCAAGAGGTAAAGAGGCAAGGTGTCCATCTCTTTCTACAGCAGTTCACAGTCCCTGCTCCATGCTAACTGCTATGTTGCAGTTATAATGTTTTGTGTGCATTACTCACAACTCTCACTCATACAAAGATGTTCATATCATCTTCACTTCACCAGGAGAAACCTCAGGTTTCTTGCACAAGTGCATGATCTGGTGAAGAATTCTCTGTGCCCAGAGAGCACCCGCTCTGCTTGCATCCACAGCCTCTGGAAGCTGCGTATTTGTGTAGACTGGGTGTCTGGACTTGGGGTGCAGATACAAAGAGTTTATGTGCTGATACCATGAAAGATACATGAACAGTGATGTCAAGAAAAGTCCTGATAATATAAAAAGGGAGTTAGGCGGCCCATTCCTCTGGAAAACTAACAGCTTGATAATCAGGGCTGCAGAAATATTTAATCAATTCTTCACCCCTTACACTTTCCAGCCAATCTACTTAGTGGAATTTAATCCATCATCTAAAAACAGACAGAAGTTTCAATAGACTTGAGTACTGAGTACCTATAGTCCCTTAAACATACTAGTGGCAAGCCCTTCCCCAAACTTAGTTAAACCAGATATCTAATCTGAATGGGTCCTGCTATGGCTTTGAGCTGTTCCTAGTGACTTTCTGAAGCTGGACTCCAAGACCTCGCTCCTTTCAGTCTTGGGCATGCACCGGTTTTAATTTTAGAGATGTTCTATTCTCTGAAACTCCAAGATGCTATCCATGTGTGAGGACCAAACACTGATACTAGGAAAAGTCAGAGGGCCATTGGGATACTTGAAGTTGAAGACATTCAAGATTGAACAGCTTGTGAGGAGTTAAGATCAGATAAGACATCATTTACCATCACACAGGCTGCTAGGCAGGCAACTGCCTGCAGGTACCCATGCACATGCCAGCACATATGGATCACATATAGGCAGACACAGAAACAAACATAGACCAATTCACCAGCTTCATGGAGTTAAGCACATAGGTTTACAGATAAGACATACAGCAGGCTCTCGAAAGTAGAGGGGATGGCCTCTGACATCAAGATCATATTTATAGAAAACACACACAAAATGACATTCTGCCAGGAATAGTTATATAATGAATTACATTGATGTTTATTTGGTGGGGTCAATCTAGTGTAAGCCATTTTGTGATGATTCAAAGCCTTCCAGATGGCTACTATTAGGTATTATAGCCAATACTGTATAGCCACAGCAGTGCCATGTTGTCCAAACACAAACTGGACCTTGCAGCCTTCTGTTCCAAACACCATAGCTCTTTCACATTTCAAGGAAAGTGGCTTTAGAAAGAAGAACTCAATTGAAGGTAAGATAGCAAAAATCCAAAGCTTCTAGTATGGTGGGTGTAAGGCAGCATCTGACTAGCGTGATGGGCGTAAGGCAGCATCTGACTAGTGTGATGGGCGTAAGGCAGCATCTGACTAGTCTGTGGATGATTCACTCTTGGGGATAGTCTATGAGACTTTCCCTATAGAGATCATACACACACACACACACATACACACACACACACACACGCATGCATACATGCACACACTCATTTAAATATTAAATAAATGAGTAAATAAATACATAATTTTAAAAGGTAAGACTTTAGGAACTGAAAGCCAACAATAATTCCCAATAGTGGGAATTTAAATATAAATTTTATGATGAACAATTATTATCAATATCCAGTATCCTAAAAATTCTTTTTCTTAACTTTCTATTGACTCTTTGTGAATTCCTCATTGTGCACCACAATCCCACTCATCTGCCTGTCCTTTCATATCCACTCTCCATCTTTGTGACCTCCCCCTATAAATAAAATAATATAGAATAAAAAAGTCATAGTGTGTGTCACAGTGTGTCACACAGGTTAACCTTTTGTCCATACATCCTTACTTGCAAATGTTCATGCCAGTGAGTCCTTGGTCTGTTTTGAGGCCTCTGGTTTCTGCTACACTGTCAATACTGGATCCTCGTGTGATTCTTCTAAGACAATTTGTTTCCCTATGTCATGGAGATTCTGCAGCTTTGGGTCTGCAGGACTGGCCCTTCCATGCCCCCACTTCAGCAGATCACAGATTGGGTAGATGTTGGGGAGGCCCAACTCAAAGTCCTGGAACTGGGCCTAGGAGGTAGCTCGACTGACCAACCTGCCAGCTCACCTGCAACTGCATCACCGTGGAGAACTCTCCAGCATTGGTCTAGCCAGTTCACCCAAATGCCACAGCTGGCAAGGGGCAGCGGCAGCGGCAGCTCTCCGGCTTTCATTTCTCTGGGGCTGGCTCACCTGCACCTGTACCACCAGGGCCAGCTCTACCGTGCTGCCCAGGTGAAATACAGAGTTCACTCTCCAGAGTGCTGCAGCCAGTGAGGGCCAGGGCCAGCACTCATGTCCTTATGACCTCAGGACCAGCTCTCCCACTTGCCATACCAGAGAGGGGCACCAAGAAATTCTTTATCAAGGACATTCTGTCTTGAAATATTTAACACATCATGTGTAGATAATTAGATGATTAAAAGCAAATAAATATATGCATACATCTATGGAAACTTTATCCTGTTTTTAGGAAGGAAATTTATAAAACAATTAAAATGTCACACAGTAAGGAATTTAAATTGTGTCTATAAAATTGAATGATAAATGCTACAGAAACATAATTGGGGAAATGAAGTTGGTGTTGAAATGATGTGCACTACACAGAGTCATGATACCACTTTCTTAATGTGGCATCATGTATGTATCTTAATGATACATACACCAACATGCTATGTAAGCATGTATAGTGTGGTTATTCATAATTTTTATTTCAGTTTCATGAAGCCGGGCTGCTTCTGAACTCTACTTGTAGATGCATGTGGCCTTAAACTTCAGATCCTATTCCTTTTACCCCTTGAGCGCTGGGATTTCAAGCAAGTGCCACCCTACCTGATTTTGTGTGATGCTGGAAACTGAACTCAGAAATCTGGACATGTAAGTAGGTCACTCTAACAACTAAACTACGTTCATAGCCCACATATAATCTCTTTCACTTTAATTCTGTTTTTTTTTTTCAGTGACTCACAGTGCTCAGTGCAGATAAGGAAACAAAACAGTTTTCTGCAAACTGGTTAGTCAGGGTATGATATTAATAAATACATGGGATGATATTGAACAAAACCGCTGACTTTTCCAATTAATGTTATTTTGCACAGACTTGTATCTTGGAGTCTATGACTGCAAGGATGACCCACAAAATGTTCTAGGAGAGACAGACATACTCTGGGTAAAAGGTGAACTGGAGAAGGTTATTTGCCATTTTTCTAGTAATCAGATTAGCTCTGGACACAACTCTCAGGAAACTTTAACCACAGAGTGGATCCAGAATTTAAGTAAGCAATTTTAAACAGAGTCCATTCTTTATATTACGTGTGAAGAGAAATAATATAGATCCCATGCTGGGCACATTACCACGCCTCTTTAATCCTAGCACTCTGAAGGAGAGGCAGGTAGATTTCTGTGAGTTTTACTTGCTGTGGTCTACACAGCAAGTTTCAGAGTAGTAAGTCTACATAGTGAGACTTTGTCTCAAAAATCTAGTCAGAAGAAAACAAACTCCCTCAAGTATTTGAGGCCATTTAGATGGTTCATCTGGTAAAGGCATTTGCCACCACCCTGATTTTGAATCCTGGTCCCACATGGTAGAAAAAAAATCCAAAATTTTGTTCTCTAACCCTTACATGTGTGCCACAATAGATGAATTGCTCCCTCAAAATAAATGTAATTGGGGCTGAACAGATGGTTGTTGGTTAAATGTGCTTCTTATTCTTCCAAAAGACCCTCACTGGGTGCCAAGAAACCCACATTGAGCAACTCATATGACTACATATAACTCCAGCTCCAGGAGATCAGAAGTTTGCTTCTGCAGCTTCTGCAGCACATGGCATACAGACACACTCACATACACATAAATGAAAATAAAAAGTAAAATTTGAGGGGCTGGAGAAACACATCAGTGGTTAAGTTTACTGCTTTTTCAGAGGACCCAGACTTGGTTGCTAACACCCATGTCAGGTGGCTCACAGGTTGTAACTCCAGCTATAGGAGTCTCAAGACACACTCTGGACTCTGTTGGCACATGCACAGACAGGGCACACAGAAACTCTCACTGACACACATTTATGAATAAATAAATAAATGAATGAATCTTCAATAAATTTAAATAACTTTAAAAACTATTTAAGAAGAACAATGTGAGTTTAGAAACTGTTTAATGTCATTCAAAAGTCCTTAATTCTCAATTATATGTTCTGTCTGAATAAAAAGCTTTTCAATGGGCAGTTGTGACAATTAATCTCTATTTTCAACTTGGTGAGATCTAGAATTACCCAGTAGCCAAGCCTGTGAAAGATTTTGCTGGTTAAGTTTATTGAGGTGGGAAAACCCACCGTGGGTGGCAACACGCCATAGGCTGGTGTC